GAGCTTATCGCAACTGAAGAATCATCAAAAAACTAAATTAGAACAGAATTTTTTGTTTTGTTCAAAAGATATTTTTCGCCACCCATAAATAGCACTTGTCAAACTAAGTGCCAAAAAAGACTGGCCAAAAAAATTTTTTGCAAAATTGCTAACTTTTTTTTGCAAATTACCAAAATACAATGATACTCCATAAATATTGCCCATAAAGTTCCTTAGAACTTTGTTGTCGTTTTTTTTTAAAACTTTTGTTAACCCTTGGTGATCTGTCAAATTTGTTGTAACACATTGGTTTTTCTACTTCGTAGCAGTTGTTGTTGGAACGATCACAGTAACAGCAGTGCAAAGGTAAAATAACCAACCTTTCTTTGTTTATTTGTTTGTTTATCTGTTTGTTCCTTTTGAATCGTTTTTTTTCTTCAAATAACTTTTTTTTATTTAAACCATATAAATTCACACTAATCTTTACCTTCCTTGTTTCGCATAGCTAACTGTTTAGCACCAACAATCAGAATTGGCAATTTTATTACATTTTAATAAACTACTTTTCTTTTTTGCGACTTAATTTTTTCCAAAGCATAAATTTTTTGGCTACAGTATTTCTGAGAAAAACCATATTGTTCTTTTTGAACAGATATACTTTGCCAGTCTGCTATGATCCTTTTTTGATGTTTTTAATGCTGACTCCTCTGAAATGTATATGTCTATATAAAACGTTCAAGTTTTCCCTGCAAACTTTATGGAAGTCTATATTACTATAGCACCGATGCTAATCAAGCAGAAATCACTTTTCAAGTTGAAACCAGCTTTTTCTTATTTGCTTGAAGAAGAGGCTAAAAGGTTTGGTTAAGCTAAAAAAAATGAAAAGACGGTAAGAAAATTATGATTCAGTCACCGGTATCAGGTAGCAGCATCAGACATTCAGTGCTGTTCGTTACAAGTATAAACCGCCTATTAGCAGCACTGTAATTCTGGAGCACTTCCTAATGTTCATGGAACCTTTCTTTGTACCAACTTTCGAGCACTTCCAAAAACTGTAACTGTCGTATGCTTTCCAGATTAATACTGCTGCTGTAGTGAGAAAAAACCAAAAATTTAGTCCAAAAATCGTCAATTTTTTTTTTCAGTTTTTAATGACGTACAAGTGCCTTTCTCATAAGAAAAATTAGAATTTGAGAAACCTTTTTTAATCTGCTAAACCAAACAAATCACCACAGAAACTATTGGGTGTTCAATAGAAGGAGCACAAACTGAACGGCGGTTTACCAGTTTTGACAACATTTTTCATTTATTTTCTTGCTTTTTTCTTTGCTTTTTTTCTACATATTTTTTTGTTACCATTTACTTATGTCGTTTTGTTTTTAATTTGTAAACCTTTTTATTCTTTTTTTTTCAAAAGCTTCATGATATCTAAAGAAAATTTGAACAGTTCAAAATTTGATTAATCTTTTTTTATAGATGCAACAAAATTTTTTTAATGTACAAAAAAAGCTGCACAACTAAAATTTGTTGCTGTGTCTATAAGCAAGAAAAAAAAAGCAGAACTTCTTATTTTGCTACAAATGCACTTTAATAAGTTTACAATACACGTATTATTGAAAGAAAAAAAAAAAAGATTTACTGCCTTAGCAGATTCTTTAACCCTTTTGGATACAAAAATTCAAAGAAGACTATTGTTGTCAGAGTGAAAATGATGCCTAATTAACACGGAAGTTAGACGTTTAAAAAAATTAATTTAAGACATCTGTTTAAGACATGTTGCAGAAACTTTTTTTTTTTTGTTTCTTCTTTCAAAATTGAAAGAAGAGGAAGACGAAATAGGAGAAGAAGAAGAAAAAATATAATTTTAGAAGATAAGCGTATTAGTTTTGTCTTTTTCAAATAAGATTTTTATCAGTGAAATATCATCAAGAGATAAGACTTTTTTTTTTATTTTTGTATTGTTTATCTTATTGTTTTTCAAAAAGATTTTTTTTTTTTCTCATTCTGTACTTGAAATAAAACAAAAAAATTTGTTTTTTTTCTTACACTTAAGAAATGTTCAGATTATCATTGGGCCTTTACTTCCTTTGTACGCATACACTGCGCTTTCAAATAAGCGACAACAAAAGAAAGGTAAAATTGAAACAAAAAAAAAAAGATTATTTTAGTCCTCGAAAAGTTCCGATTTTAGTTTGATCTGATTTTCATTACAAGATTAAAAGAATTTCATGACCAGCCTTTTTTGGTACAAATCGACCAAAAACAAAAAAATATTATTGTTAAAAAAACTATTTGTTATCATATTTTGATAAATTGTCTTCGTTCTTTTAAGTTTTTCAATTAAAGATGCAAATTTTTTTGTGCATATATTTGTTCGGAATCTAGCTTCAACAGTATCAACTGTTCCAGACGGAGAACTACTGGTATAACGTGTGCAGAACCAACAGAATTGATTTAGTGCTTACTATAATTACTTTAATTATAACAATTAATAAGCACTGTCGTTTGAAACAGTTTCTGTAACTCTTACTTTTATCGTTTGTTTACAATTTGTAATTGTATTTTTGCTTATCACACAAAACTTCTCGACGTAAGCATTCTTTTGAAAACAAGGAAAAAATCAGTCTTAATAGTTTTACTAATTTTCAGCTTAAAACTATAAAACATTGTCATCTGGAAATAATCATGCAAATCTGGCACATGGAACCTTATCCGTGCGGTGATAGACGTTTACCGCATCATGTGTTTCCGCCAAAAACCTATACACCAGATCAATTGCAAACATTGACTGGAGTTGTCCACTACAAGGTGCTGATAAAACGAACTGACATTATATTGTAGTGACTGCTGTTTTTAATCGTTTCCATACTATAATCATGTAGTTTACTAAGAAGACTTACTCATTACCTGCAGTGTCACACAGAACACTTGTAACAGTAATAATGATTTATATAACCGTTTCGAGCGTTTAGGTTGATATGGATGATACAGTTGCAATGAAGAAAAGACTGTCACGTGTACGTATTGAACGTGACGTGACCACATCCGATATTATCACCATAAATGAGCATCTCGCTGATCTTTCACAGAAGGTTTACCTACCACCTGGTTTTTTTTTTTTTTTTTTTTTT